CTTCCTCTCTTTCTCAAGATGGAATGCTTTTTCAATGAAATAGAAGCTCGTCACTGCGAAGAATAATGTAGATCTATCCCATGCAGCTCACACGAAAGCCGTTAACTCGGGTTTTGCAGACGAAGCGTTCAAAGCCGTGACTAACCTGATCATTTCAGACATGAATCAAACCAGAATTGGAGCAAAACAGGTTGAAGAGCGCTTGCAAGATCTGATGTCTTCAGGTTCATACCCCAATTTTCTTCGAGATCTTCATGCGACCGAGAAGATGGCTGATCATGTCGTGGCGAATGCAAGACTTGCGGTGGAACAAATGAACGAGGCGATTGCTGATGCAGAGGAATGGAAAGTAAGAGCGAGGAACGTAGCAGGAGGAAGAAATTAATGCATGAGGAAGACCCTATATTTAGCCAATGTGTTGAAGCAGACCTTATATTAATTAATTTGATCTTTAAATAAATGTGTGACTAATTAACAATTAATGATCATATATATAGCTTCATCTATTAATAAAAACAAAAACAAAAACCAAATATAAATGACAGTGGCAAAAATTTACAAAAGCATATGACTCAATTCAATGATGAAGCACTCGTATTTTTTGTAACCAAAAAGTGGCTATGACAATTAACAATCCATGTTGTTTTTTTTTCTTGAGCTAAGCTTAGTTAAAAAGTAACTCAAAACCATTATTACTTAAGATAGGCTTTAAATATAGATTGCTTTTCATAATGAAAATACTTCAATTAATAACTATTTTTTTTAATGGGATAAGGGTGTTCTTGTTGTTTGAATCTTGAAAGATTTTAATCTCTCGTATTTGTTTACATAACCATTTCTCAGGGTTTATCTTGTATTTCAAAGAAACATCTCTCATTCTCCTGTTTTTCTACGAAAGGGGTTCTTTTCTTTCTTTGTGAATCGAATCTTTCCTGTTAAGCCATCAATTACTATATCGGCTCTGAGTCCTAGTTTATTAGTACTCGATTGGTTTATAATTTAGATGCGGCTGCGGTTATCTAAGTTTGCGGAAATGAGCGTGTCCATTTATTTAGTGTTATTGAACGGTCCATAACTTCAAATGATCGGTGTAGTTACTGGAAAGATGTACATTAATCCTACTTCCCACATGGTTGAAGTTGAAAGCAAGTGTAGCTGTCTTTTTAAGTTTAAACTCAAGCTTCTCTTATTATTGTCATACATGGAAACCTACAATAATCTCCCTCCACAATTTAATATGATCAAGATGGGGTACTACATTCCAAAGTTGAACAATACATATAAAAATAAGAAGCCTTCCTAGCATGGACAAAGTTACTGAGGCATGTAATGTAAGTGGCACAAAAAAAAAATATGGACAAAGTTTGAAAGATGTACAGTAGCTATATTAGTTATATAGAGATTGATGTGTTGCTTGATGATATCAGAGATTTGGCGAACTCCTTTGACTCTATCTTATTTCATGACTCTTATCTTATTTCAATTTGTTTCACGTACTTGTAATCCGGAGGCTGATAAGCTTACCAAGATTGCTCTAACTACCCTCGAGCAGAATGTATTCGACTTTTTGTTAATGAAGTTTATCTTTCGTGACCAAAAAAAATACAGTAGCTATATTAGTTATATAGTAGCTATATTAGTTATACAATCGTTATAGTTGTATATAGTTTACACCAGTACAGTTTATACTTTTATAGCATACTCGTGAAAATCCGCGGAATAACTATTTAGATGATTTTTAAAACTATTTTAATATATATAATGATGTTTAAGATTTATGTTCACAATTTTTATTTATACAAATTCAAACATCATCTTAAAATGTTTAATATAAAAGTGAACCTATATAAATATTTTTATTTGAATACTATATTTTCAATTTTGCTCTAGAATTCAGCGTATTCTTTTGGAATCTTTTTGTTATAGTCCGTGTCTACTATTAAAAAAAAATGTTGAGTCCACACATGATCGGAAAGATAAAACTTATAAAGTGAAATATGCAATAATTTATAGATAAACACGTATAAAAAAATTGTGAAATTTAAATATTTTTGAAACTGATTGATCACATATTTAGTTTATAGAATTTGATTCTTATATTATCTAAATTTATATAGCTTCTACAATTTTTTTTAAAAAATGA